CCATCGCTTTAATCCTTTGTTGCTTAGGAATTTCATGGGTGCCAAGTACTATCTGTAATATTTTGGGTAAGGCCTCACTTCTTCACATGATATTTCTGTTTAAGACCACCAAATCACACTGATTTTGACACAGCTGTTTGACCATAAAGCCTGCATTTCTCTGAAGTTCAGGGTTTTTTACCAAATACTGCAGAATGTGCATTGTCTAAAATTTTGGGTGACCCTTCAAGATGTCATGCAGACACTTCTTACATGTTCAAATGTGTGAGGAAGTGCATTGACTTGAAATCCGAGTAGCTATGGAAAACACGTTCCAGCCTTTCATTGAGTTATATACAGCAAAGCAAACAGTCTAATCATGAGATAAATAACCCTGATGGGAGAGAAGCAGAGGGTTATAAACTTCAGAAGGGCAAATTTCAAGGGTTTAAATATTTAAACAGGAAAAAAAAGCCATGAAGCTGTAGAACATGGATTTACTTGCAAAGATTATTTTCTGTAATTCACTCCCATTAAACTGCATAAACTACACAGGAACACACAGACACGTGACATTGGTAAGTCTGTTACAGTCACTGCACCACTGCTGAACATTGCAGCACATCCACTTGTGCATTGTGCCACAGCCAGAGGGCAGGAAAACCAGCTCGGAGCAGAAGTTTGGGAGAGACCTCCTGCCATGCACCCATTTCCTGACCTGTTCTTGGCCCTTTACAGCAGCTGACAGAGCTCTGGAGTAGAGCAGAGTGGAGCAAGCAGGAGACAGGAAACTACAGAAAAGGAAAACTGGAAGGCTCCCGAACCATATTTAGGTCATTGAACCTTGGATAAGCATCACCAAGTTTACCCTATCTATATACACTAAAATTCCAAGAGGAATTGCATGTTCTAAAAGTGTTGCACAACTGTATCTTCCAAGCTCCACTGGAATGCCTAAATTCAGGCACTTAATTCAAGTACCAAAGTTAGGAGCCTACCTGCTGCAGACTGCCCTCATTCAAGGGACAGTGATAGGTTTGCTCTGTCTACCACTCGACTTATTCTTGGGAATACCTTGGGAAATCTACCACTCTATTGCTGTATGTGTTTTTCTCTCAACAGCATCACTCCTCATGCAGTTCCTGCTTCTGTCTGCATCCCTGCTGAGTCCTTGGTATGGGCAGTGCTACTGCTTATGTCACTTTAGAGTGGACTGGGCTGGGGGCTTTTTATTTTCTGTTCCTCTCTTTAAAGCAGGCAGTTTCCCACGAGCACAGGAGTGGCACAGGACAGAGGACAGGCAGCCAGCATTGGCAGCTCAGATAACAGGAGCAGCACCTGTGAAAGCTCATCTTCTGGTCACTGCCAGCAGGCTAACAGGGACAAATCCACCTTCTTGGGTGGAAAGCACTGGAGGCACAACCCTCTGTTATTGCCACGGTGTGCTGCCTCCAGCTCAGCAAGCATTTGCTACAGGCAAGCTAGAGGACAGGCAGAGTCTCAGCCCTGCCTGCCCCTGGTGCAGACACACGCAGTGCGGAGGCAGTGAGAGGCTGCAGGGCTGTACTTACTTTCAGAATGAGCTCCTTGGCTGAGTGGGACATCAGGATTCTGTCGCACCAGGCTGGACATCTCGTGTTCATGTACTGCTTTCCCTGGCTAGAGTCCTCACTGTAGGGATAACTGCAAACAAATCCCAAACACAACCATAAGCAACTCTGTGCAAAGCAGCCTGAAACCTCTGGCTCAAAGGGCCACACTGATCACAAAATTTCACTGGCAAAAAGCAGCTTTCCTGGACACCTCTTGTACATGTTTATCTTTCCCCTGCTCCTTTCCTTTTTATGTGCTCTATATCTCTCCTCAGACCTACAATCCTACTGTAGGTCACATATTCAGGCACACACAGTTTCAAAACTCTCACCTCCTACCTAGCATGTGAAAGTGTTTAGAGACAGCAGATTGTTTATCTACATGAAAAGTATGAAAATGAGTTCAACAGCAACTTGAAAGCAGCCTGTTGGCTGTGAGTATGTAAAAAGGAAACCTAAGGAAAAGAAAAGGTTCATCTCATGGGATTTCTTTGCAGGATTCTCACAAGGAGAGTTATCCAGGAAAAACTGCACAGGAAACAGAGTTCAGAGCTGGGATTGCTGCAGCTGTACACAACCTCCCCTGTATGGATTCTTTAAGGGTGACAGAAAGGAGGACAGGATGAGACAACAGGCTTCGCAGGGGATTTCTTCAGAACCGAGGAGTCAGGACTATGGTTTTAGGAAAATGATGCTGACTCCGTAACATCCTGTACCTTTCCATGAAACTGTTAAGAAAAAGTAAATTATTTTGTACAGATGTCTGGAATAGAAGCTGGTTAAATGGTACTTACACCCTGGGGTCATAAACATGCTATGGCATCTCCAGTGCATTCTAACTTAGCTTTAAAGGCAGAAGAAGGTGTTTATTTTAATCTGCAGAATCTAATGAAGTTGACACACCTGTGTGAGCCCATGGGCACCTGAAGGGCAACCTCTGGCTCAACCCTCAGCAGGCTGGGGCCAAAGCTTTTCTCATTTCATCCACATTTTCACCAGTTTAATACAGCAGAACTCTGCACTTGATGATGGCTCATCACACTGTAAGGGCCCACTGTTTCCCCAGACTGTTTCCAAAGCGGCATGGGGGAGTAGCCAAGGAGAGGGTTTGGAGAAATCCAAATGGTTTATGATAGGCTCAATTTCTTGAATATTCGGCCTGGATCAACTGAAGTTTGCCAGGGATAAATGTTTTTAAAAAATCCCTATCTACCTCTACAAGCAACCCCTATCACATATATCCAATGTATGTGTGAGGGTATTTAAAATGACAGTTGCATTTTATTCTGCTCATCACTGAGTTCAGAAAGGAAATACTGAGGTTTTTCTGATGTGTGTGTTAAAATACAATTTCTGGTATTGTAATAAAAGGGCTCGCGTGCTTGAAGAGAAACTTATTTACCACCCTGCTTGGTGTGATACTCTGAAACACAGACATACAGCTCTCTACCAAATGGGTTTACAAGCTACATTGCCATTAAAAAGATTAGCCATGGCAAACATCCAAGAAAAGCGTATTGAATGTATTGGAACAAACCAGTGATCTCAGTACCTTTTCCACCTCATCAAACCTAACAAGACTCATTTTCAAAACATATTATGAGAATTCAATTTGCTGCTTCACTGACATAGAGAAGTACAGCTTATTTCTGAGTGTCTGTGAAATATTTTGATGATGTAATACTACTGGTAGCAGAAGCTCTTTGCCTGCAATTTAAGGGTTGACTTTTTCTTGTAACCTTTTACTTTAGTTACTCCAGAACCCCACACAGCTGAGGCTACTTTTTATGACATAAGGTATAAGAATCAATCCCTTTTCATATAATCCTTCCTTTCGCAGCATTAACTGCATGGCTTTTGAAGTATGATGTTCTGTACCTGGAATGATCTGTTACTGCTATGTGTTAGAGCATTTCATCTGAGAGCCTATGAAATGGTATTTATCAATTTGCTTTATAGGTCTTAACGTTTTCACAGGGTGAAAACTTCTGCCAATTTTTCAAGGTCTTTAGCGCTGATCACCCAGTCAAGAAGTTACTGTAGTTTACAAGTATCTTTGACAAATCAGGTTTCTAGTGGCTGGGACAGAGATGAAAATAAATGCTGCAAAAGTTATCCAGATGAAATGACCTGTAGGTAATAATTCAATACAATAAAGTGGGGAAAGCTCCTCTTTTTCTACAGCAGAATCCTTCCTTCCAGCCAGAAGTGTGGAGCACTCTGTCTTGCTGCACCCTGAGCAAGGCTTCTCCCTCCCTCCATCCCCTCTGGTGTGTCTCAGTGAAATGCTGACACTGACATCATGAAAAATCCTAATGAGATACGTGCCCAAAAAAATAAGGAGAACTCCTTCATGCTCTAGAAGGGTCACAAACACTTTGGAATAAGCAAGCTTCTTTTGTAGCTGGGCTCAAGCAGTGGTCATAAGACTCCAAATTCCCGTTTCTGTGACTTACTGGGTTGTGGGGACGCCGTATTTCAGTTTATTGTATGCCACTGATCTCAGATTCTTGCAATAAAACCTTCATCCAGAGGTTTCTGGAATAACACTGTCCCTGATGAAATTTTCATGAAACATGCTGCTGAATGGATACTGCTCTAGAGCACCACAGACTCACAATGGGCCTCGGGAAACTGGGGAGTATTTCCACTGGCTTCAGTGAGTAATCAAGACATGAGTCTGCCCTGTTTAAAAAGGGACAAAGTTGGAATTTAGGACCTTAACCACTCATGTTATCAGAGTAATTACTGGCAAAAATAGTCTGTTCTCTGTGCATACCAGCCAGCGGAGTTATGCAAAACACACTTTGTGCATGTCCCTGGATGATGGACAGACAGGCAGTGCTGGAGCATCTGTGTGAGAGCCTTGTGTGATTCATCTCCAGTTGTTTAGGAATTACTTTTTTTCTCAAGATGCTGATTTTCCACCTTATTTCATGAACTTTTGTTTCAGTTACACTCATTTGTGTCAGGATTACTGTCAGGTGGGTTTTCTGAGTAAAACATCATTAGTATAATGCTCTATGCTGAAATTTAACAAATACTTTGACGAATTGCTAACTAACTCTGTTAATAAGGAGCAGGCTGTCCCATGAACTACTGGTGTCACAGTCAATAAAGGTGAGAGCTACTTGGCAATTGTTTGGGGAAAATAAACCATTAAGGGGCTCAGTAATATCAGAGCACTACTGCTGTTGACAGGTATTGTCAAAGATGATTAGACACCTTTACAAAAATGCTTACTGCGGGTGAAAAGTCTTCCTACGTCGTAAACCATCCTGTCAGCAGTGCCTTAACTCGAGACACAAGCCAACAATGCTGTGTATATAAATGTCTCCTTAACTGGCATTTCCAGTCAGGAAAAATGCTCCTAATGAACACTTCTCTTGTGTAAGAAGGAATAAAACCTGCTAGTGAGATGGGTTAAATGTACTTTCTAACAGGAAACAATTAATTCTCTTTGGAGGGTTCTTACCTCTAACTGTCACAGGCACTTTGCTCCCAGCTCGCTCCCCACACAGAGCACAGACATGCCCTGCCCCTGGAAACAGAGCAGGCTGCTGCTCTGGGGACTCTGCTTTCCACAGTCAACACATACTGGCGCTGGGCGAGGACGTGTGGTGGCACCCAGCAGCCAACGGGGGGAAAATTCAGCTAGTTGGTCTTTTTTAGTACAATAAAGGTAACTCTGAACAATGCTGCATCCTGTGTCTAGGTTCAAATGCAGATGCTTTGGCAGACTCTTGTGATTCAGGGAGTGGAAATGCCTCCTATTCAAAGCCCCTTGTGCTCATCTATTAATTGTCCCCATGTTTTATATCACTGAGTCTTCTTTCTAATACAAAAATATTTGAGATGGGATGGAATTATGAAGCATCAGTGAAAACTGCACTCAGCATGGGAAGAGCTGAGACACAATTTTCATTTGGTGTGTTTTATTTTTGCACTTGGGTATGAATTTATTAAACCTTCTCTCACTGTTTGGTCTATTTCCACATGACATCAAGAGAGAACCTCAAAAGGGGAAAAATCCCAATGATCCTTCATCAGAAAATTCGTTTCTGTTTTCGTATTTTCTAAGAAAACGTTGGGCCAATTCACCTTTAGCTCTGATACACTCTCGGACTGTCCATGACACTCAGGGGATGGTGAATGCAGACTGCCAATTCAAGCTCTGGGTGCTCCAAAAGGCCAAAGATAAAAATAAAAGTAATTTTGCTGTTTTTAACAGGCACTTAGCATGAATGTGAGCTGGTACATGAGTGTGACTTCAGTAAGATGTCATTCAACCAATCAAAGTACGACATCTAATTTTTGTCAGCCTCCAGGTCGTTAGTTTCTTCCTCCAAACTGAATTACCGTGTTTTATTTCCCTGACTCTGACAGGGAGATTTGGGCTCCCTAGGTCTCTTCCTAACAAAGGACCCCATGTAATTTATCTTCATATGCTTATGTTAGGCAGCAGATCTAAGCTAAGCAACGAGACACATTGCTGTTTGAATGAAATTAGCTGCTTCATATGTACCAAAACACTAACAAGCCTCAGTGATGCCCTGTGAGCCAACTGGCCATGAGACTCACTTCAGCCGAATCAGGAGGCAAACAGAGACCTGCAAACACAGGAGTTAAAGTGCAATGCTTTAAACAGCTGCTACTTGCACAGGCTACACTAACACCATGGTGATCACACCAACAATCAGAGTCAAAGGTGACAGAGGGAAGGGGGGTCACCCGGGCAAAGCAGCGGCAAAGGGCAAGAAGGGTAAACAGGACTCCAGCTCTGACTCCAGGCAAAACACAAAACAGGAGGGCTAATGACACGGTGTTTTTCTCAGAATCTTTTTATGGATTTATGTTGGGGATATTGCTTTTTGGCTTAACAAACTTCTTTGGAGAACACGGGTCTAAACGCTCTCTATTGCTTCAGTAACAGCAGTGCAGTACTGTGCCCCAAGGATGTGATGCTGCTACTGTTGCAAGTGGATAACTGGAATTATACATAACGTGGGCTTGGCTTGTTCCAGCAGGACAGCCCGGTGTCACTGCATGTGACTATGACTGAGCTCAGTGTCTTTTCTGGGAATGTGTCTG